GCACTGTAGGATAAGCATTGGACTGCTAACCTCAAGGTCAGCAGTTCAAGCTCACCAGCCACTTCTCAGAAACCCTATACAGGGTCGCTATGAGTCAGAACCAACTCAACTACACTTAACAACAACAACAAGGTAGTTTCAAAGGAGCCCTAGTGGCATAGTGGGGTAGACATTGGGATGCTAGCTGCAAGGTCAGCAGTTTGAATCCACCAGCTGCTCCTTGGGAGAAATATGAGGCTTCCTGCTCCTGTAAACATTTCCAGCTTCAGAAATGCTATCGGGTTCGCTATGGATAGAGTCAGACTTGACTGAGGCACACAACAACAGTAACAAGGTTGTTAGCTCCAGGCCTGGAATTTGAGTCTGATTGGTTGATGAATTCTGAAATCTTCCCAAATGGTTCTGGCTCCTGGAATATACTTATTTTCATGCTCCAACGGATGACACAATTTTAGTGGAAAGCCCAGGTTGGATCTTTGGTTCATGCATTCATTTTATTCATTCACTTATTTATTCAGCATATCCTTACTGAACATTTATCATGTGCCAGGGATTATGTTAGGTACTGAGACTATCAATATGAACAGATATAGTCAGAGTCCCTGTCCTCAGAGAGATGAGAGTCTAGTCAGCAACACACAATTCATGAGTGGGTCATAGAGGGTCACCTAGAGCAATGACTACTGATCTTTGCATTGTGTTTTCCTTTACTTTGAGGACAATGGAGAAAGGACCTTAAAATCAACAAGAAAACAATTACAAGAAAAATGCACACCACCCCCAACACAGTGCCCCAAAAGTAAAGGCCTTGAATTTCATGGTCTTTAATTCCCATTATTTACTCTTATTAATCTAATTGAGGTATCCGGTTTCGAAAGCTTTAACCTACAACCAGGAAGCCTCCTCTGTAATTCTAAACCAGGCTCGGAAGATGGACAGGTGACCCAAAGAGCCCCTCTTTGTTCTCCATTTTCACGTTCTATTATGTAACCTCAGGCAGTGAACTAGCTAATCAGCTTGATTTACAACCTGAAACCACTCTACCGCCTCAGTATCTGTTACAAACATTTACATAACACATGTCCTCAAAGGTGTTTACAGTACACTTTCTACCACCTCCTACAGATTTATCCTCACAACAGTCACTCAGTTTTTCTTCTTCTTTTGTTTTTTAATTCTCAATTCATGGAAAGTCAATTTGAGGCCAAAACCCGCTCCCCCCCCCCAACAAAAACAGTTTAATTGAGCAGTTTAAGATTACACAACTAGAGTTAGTCGATGGCTGGGTAGGACAAGTAGTCCGAAGTCCTACTATTTGAGAGAGTCTTTCATCAACATAATCAGAAAAGACCTGAGTGACAGAAAAGACCTCAGAACAAAGTAGCAGCACCTCTGATGCTGATCACTGGTCAAGCACAGTTGCCTTTCCAGCTGTTTCCTTCAAGCCTCTCATCACTTTCACCAAAGGAAAACCCACAGTCAGTGAATGGATTCCAACTCATAGCAACCCCCAAGGACAGAGCACTACTGCCCCCTAAATTTTTAAGGAAGCTGACCACCTCGTCTTTCTTCTAAGGAGGGTCTGGGTGGATTTGAACCACGAACCTCTTGGTCAGCAGCCTGAAGCTTTAGCCACTGCACCACAAGGGCTCTTTATATGCTGCCTTGCCCCTTTAAACAAATGACACACTATGCACACTTATGGTAAACATTTTACATACGAACATTATCGAAAAGCACAAGTGCCCTTGCCACCTTCCCATTTGACTAGTCCACTAACTCGCAGTGCCTTTGAATTTGGAAGATTACTTCACAAATGTGGACCCTTTACATATATTGATGGTAACAGCTGCCAGTGCACCAACTTCAACTCATGGCAACTCTAACAGACGATCGATGTCTGCCCATGTGGCACCCTCACCAGCACCAGCACCTTCCAGTCCATCAGCTACTAAGATCATCCACCTCACCGAGGTTCTCCCTCACTCTTATTGATTCTCTACTTCACCAAACATAGCCTCTTCTTCCAGCCATTGATCTCTCCTCATGACGTGGGCAAAGCAAGCAAGTCAAGTCATGCTTTCTTGTGATTCCTAAGTACATGACCAGACCTGTCTTTCTTGTCTACTAGTCTGGAAGCTCTGCTGACACGTGTCTGGTATTTGAAACACCTGTAGCACAGCTTCCAGGATCATAGCAACATGCAAACCATCAAAGTACCCACAGTACAGAAGCGTGGTGGTATACACACATACATCCAAGCTCTACCCTTCATTCCACAGCTAGCTCTTTCACTGGCTTTTTGTTTCTGAGATTTACCCAGACTTTTATAACAGATTCATTTTTATGGCTGCATCATATTTTATCACTGTATCACTAATGTATTCATTCTCCTTTTGATGGCTATTTCAATCTTTTCCAATTTTTCGTTTTGGCAAACACTGCATGTCCATTTCTCCTAGTGCACACATGATCATGTTTCTCTAGAACTGAATACTAGAAAAGCTAGACATATTTTTTTAGTTTTAACAACTACTTCTAAATTGCCCTGCAAAGAGCCTGTTCCTCACATCTAGTATCAGAGGATACCTGCCTCTCCACAACCTTACAAGAATCCTTGTTCTTGTGAGACTTGTCTAAGTATAATTTTCTAAATGAGAAAATATGACTCTCATTCAGACACAGAATGTGCATGTTAACATATTTATTCAACCCATAAAACTCATAAAAGTTGATATGAAGACTCTTTGAGGAACTGAGTTTATATGTCCGTAAAAAAAGTGCTGAAATAATATTGCTAGGCTAGATGTAACACAGATTAAACTCCTTTAGAAACCCTGGTGGCACAATGGTTAAGTGCTTGCCAGTATGAAACCACAAGTTACTTCACTGGAGAAAGATGTGGCCATCTGCTTCCATAAAGATTTACAACCTTGGAAACCCTATGGGGCAGTTCTACTCTATCCTAAGGGGTCATTATGAGTCTGAATTCACTCAAGGCGTTTGTGGGCTGGTAAGGTTTTGTTTAACGCCCTGCGGAGAAGTAAATTGTAAACTTTGAGGCTGTCTTTTCTTTGGGGAAAAAAATTATTTGCATTTCTACCAGGCATAGGGATTCCTGGTGTGGCACTGTAGAATAAGCACTGGACTGCTAACCACAAGGTCAGTGGTTCAAACCCACCAGCCACTCCTCAGAAACGCTATAGGGTGGCTATGAGTGAGAACAGCATTTAATAACGGCAACCAGGCACAAATATATGCTAACATCTAACTTCATAACATCTTAGTCTTCCACGAATAGTAAACGGCTCTATCCTTCACTTTCAGATTTCAGATAATTTTTAACAGACTTTAAATAAAACAAACCAAACAAAATTCAGTTTTCATATGAATTTTCATTAGTGTTATTTTCGTTATTTATACTTGGCCATCTAGTTTTCTCGAGTTCTAAGTCACTTTAAACAAACTAACATCACTAATCTGAAAGAGAATCCTTTTTTCCCTTTAGTAATCTGAAATTCCTGGTACAAAATAAACAACTGTTTTGCTTCATAAGGTTAGCCCTTTTAGGCAATGGGGAAGATCTGATGGTTCCCTAGTAAGGACCTTACACTGGAAAGGATGTAAAAATCTCCCTAACTCTGTGTTTGAGAGTCTGAAGATGCGGATCAGGGAAGAGTAAGGGCGGATGAGTTTGGGGGGCAGCAGGAAGTCTCAGAGGGTTTTGTTGTGGGGAAGGTGGCTCAGCCTGTGCTCTGGGCCCAATTTCATCTTTACCAGTGGTTGTCAATCAGCCAACACTTAGCGGTTGACCACCAAGGCCGGGAGTCCTGCTGTGGAACTGTAGGCTAAGTAATGGTTCGTAAGGTGGACGGTTCAAACTCACCACCACCAAAGCACCTGTGCAGGAGTGTGGGGAGTCTGACCAGCACTTACTGTTGTTGTTAAGGCCCAGGGAGTTGGTTCTCACTCACAGCGACCTTGTAGACCTTGTATGGGGTTTCCAAGGAGCAGTTGGTGATTTTGAACTGCCGACCTTTAGGTCCAGTGCAACACTAGGAGTAAAGGTAAAACCGAATGATGAGACTATAAAAATAGATCATGATATCGGAAACTCACTGAGCAGCCTAAATGCAACCGGGTGTGTGTGC